TGTATATATATGTACACATACACGTTGGCACACATACACGTTTACTCACATTCCTGCACACATACACATACGTACACACATACACATACATATACACATATGCACACACACACATACACACAGGTACATGTTCATATACACATACACACATAAGTACATATGAAAAAGTAATTTATTTTCAAGTCATTTAGCAAGCTATCTATGTTCTTCTAATCTCTTCTTTTTTTAAGACGTTCTCTTTTACTCCACTCTTGAGTGGGGGTGGGACACAGTGGGGATACTACATCCCTCCGGGAGCAAGCTTTGCACTCTACTCTAAAAAATACTTTCACATGTTCAAATAACATTTTCCATCGATATTTTTATCACATTGCGTCATATAGCCTGTTTTTGCGATTTCTCTGGGTTAACATGGGTCTACTATACGATCTTTCGCACTCCAGGGACCCGTATACGGATGATGTCTCAATGGGCGACGAGAACGAATCCATACTTGCCCGTGCGCAGAGTAAGTGGACACCGAGCACTCAGACTCTCCGTTCGGATTCCGAATACTCTGACGATGACGGGCCGATGTCCGCGGTACCCAACGAAAACACGAGAGATACATCCATGAGTGCAAATGGAGCCTTTACGACCAATAGCAGACTTAATGCAGCCATGCTCGATAACAGTGGTGGGGGTGGCGCCGCACCTGACCTGTCATGGTTGAGTGACGATGATGAAGATTTGGGACTAGACAATATTAGCGATTACGAACCCGATGCAGTTAATTTTGGAGCAGATGAAGACCCTCTTGAAGACCCAGCCATTCAAGGGATTGGCGCTGGAGGTGCAATAGTGGACTCGGGACTCATGCAACCACCCTCGTTCGACCGGGAGGGTACTTTGCCATCAGAAAATGTTAGTACAAACGCGACAACTTCTCGAGATAGTATACAGAAATCTGCTGCAACTGGTAGTAGCCAGCAGGATCAGCCTGATGATTGGGCCGATAATTGGGATGATGATGATGATGATGGATGGGGTGGTGAGGAATTGGGCGACGATGATTTTGGCATGGGCGATTCCTTGGCGGATTCTGTGCCAGTTCCGGCTCGGAAAGGTAAAGCCGATTAGATGAAGAGCGCAACAGAATAGTATAATGACATTTCTTTTTACGTGCAGAGCCACACAGTAAAAATATATCACCAAGGTAAATCTGAAGGATGCATTCATTCACTTTTTTATATGGTAACATGGGTACGCAAATATCTCCAATCACTCCCAAGTCTAGGATAGAGTGCAGAGAATTAGTTGCGTAGCCCTTCAACTACTATGATATTCACGATAAATCAACCAGCATTTTTTTTACGGTAACATTGATTTGCAAAAAAGGCGAGAGCAACGCCAGTTGACGATCGCGATCAATAGATTCAAATCATCTTTTTGAAATTGTGTAATTACACGACAGATTTCACTTTCTTAATGAATAAATCCTCGTGAAGCAAACGTTGATATGTAGTTACATCCAAACCGGTGTAGTCACCAGCGGCTTCACTACCAAGTCTAGGTCTCTATGACCGCGTGCGGAAAATTAATACGTAACCCTTCAGCTATTATGGTATTCGCGTTAAATCAACCAGCAATTTTTTTATGGTAACATTGATTTACATAAAAGGCGTGAGCAAAGCCAGTTGACGAACGCGATTAATGGACCTATCTCCATTTCAAATATTGTATTTGTGTTAAATTTATCGGCAATCGTTTGAAAGTAGTCGCTGCAGTACAGAATTAACACACAAAAACGTTTTTGCTTGTGCACGAAGCTAGATGTCAGCTCTGTTCCACATACTGATGGTCATATACCTACTAATATATCTATGTAGCATGGTGCACTTCGGATGGGTGGTGCGGTGCGTGTGTTGGTGACATACAACCTCCACTATTCCACGTTACCCGCGAACAGACATTAATTTTATAAATTAGTCAATTATGGCATAATATAGTGTTGAGATTATTTATTTGTACTTGTTAAATATTTTGCATTAGTAAAACGAGTAAACTATTGATTGTTGGTGGAGTCATCCTCACACCACAGATACCCAGCATCGACCCAGGCGTCACAGCCCCTTTTTGTAGGGGCCATTCCATCACATTGCCATCCGATTCTTAGGCACCCGCTGCATTGACTCTCGGCACAGCTCAAGAATTTAGTATTAGGGCCAGCGATCCAATTGGGTGTCTCAGATGGTACAGAAGAGGAAGCAGAATCCGTGGTAGCTACTTCCGAGCTGGCAATCGATATCGACTGCGTTGTAGAAGTATACGTGGGGGTTGCCTCTATCTCCACAGTCGTCGATACTGCAGGTGTTGAAACAGTCATCTCCGATGAAGAAACAGCAGATGCACTAGATGTTGATACTGTCATGGTCGTTACACTAGTTGGACTGCTTGAAACACTCAGGGTGGTTGCAGGCACTTCAGTACTTGTGGTATAGCTTGCTGTGACCTCCGGAACTTCTTCATCCGGGTAGCACGAGTCATATCCATATTGCGCGTTCATAGCGCACGTGATGGGAGACCAATCAGTATAGCACGCTCGCCAACCATTGTCCCCTGGGTGCAAGCATCCGACACAAGTCCCACAATCGGCACTCATAGACGGTGTGGTTGTACCGTCTGTCTGGGTAGCACCGGCGCTGGTGGTAATTGGTGGTAGAGTGGGAGATGTCGTAGGTCTAGGCGAAGGTGCAGCAGTGCCATATTCGCACTCTAGACCGGTTGGGTTATAGCACTGTTGCACTGATGCGTATTCATCATACTCGCCAATTGCCTCAGGCGGACAGAATTCGTTGAAACCACTGCCCATCAAATTCTGCGGCTGTCGTAAGGGGAGCTCATGCATGAGCGCCTCAGTAGGAAGCGTATTCTTGGTCGTATCTGGTCCTTGCGCTGCATCAATTCGAATGTCCGCGCAATTCCAAAATTCTTCGGATATCTTCAAGGGGTCCTGACTGTGATTCTCGGGAGGGCAAGAATTCGTGGTGTAGTAGTGCCAACGTAGAACGCAATTGGTGCAATGAACATCAGTCGGTAGCTGAAACTGTGTCTTTAGCAAGACTGCACCGGATGGAACAGTTTGCGCAATATAGCCACCATTAGCGGTGACCGGCCACAGCGATTTCTCTGACTCGAGCAAAGGTTTCCACCACTTTGTGCAGTCATGTACACTTGCATCGCAGTTTGGTCGTTCGAGTTTGTGCTGAGAGAAACACGCTTCATCGATATCGGTGGAATCACAGAGTTGCAAGTCGAAGTAGCCCAGATGGTGAGCAGTTACTACTACAGACACATCTATTACGCTACCCTGTGTGTATGTTGCTTTGGGTGCAACAGGCACATTCCAATTCTGAGGACTCTCGTGCCACTTGTTCCCGCAGAGCCCATGACGATACGAATCACCCATTAGTACTATACCTGGTCCGCCTGCGGCCAATGATTGTGGCTCATAGTTGTTCGGTACATTTCTAGCCTCTGGCCAAGACAAATAGGCATGTCCAAGTACACTATCATTGTGAACCAAGGTGAGGGTTGCTACGAGGAGTGTGGATGTTCTCATCGTAAAGTACACAACAAATTTCTTTTAGAGCGAACAGGTATACAACTGGTGTTCTATTGCATATCTACGGTTGTCTTTTATACTATCACAATACATCATTTGCTGGTGTGGAAGTTATACTTGACTTTGCTGGAGTCAGCGACAGACTTTCGTGGCATATTTGAGATTCTTGTCTTGAGCTGCCGAGAACAGGAAATAGCTACTCCTTGTATATTGAATGTGATTTGTTTTACAAAAAAGGGAGCTGTCTATTTTTCCATTTAATTTTTTCTCTATTGTGATGTGTTAATATGTATGTACTGAATTTAATTTGTTACAAAAAAGAGAGCTGTCTGTGCCTCTTTGGCATGTTAATGTTAATGGCTCTGGGTGTCAGAATGTTCCTCTCGGGGTCCTGAAACAACCAGTCAAAGCCTGTGAGCACTGAGCAGAAGCTCTGAAACAAATAAAATTACAACAATAAATACCATTTTTGTCTACATTAACGGTACTTAAGTACCCCCCCCCCCCGCCCGGCAGGCCGGCAATCGGCAAACAGTTAGTACAATGTACATATACACAGCCATAAGTAAAATCCTTTAAATATCTACTCCGTGTATACTGAATACTGAATGTGGCTTTTTACAAAGAAGGGAACTGTCTATGTCTCTAATTCTCTATAATATCAAATATGTGTACATATTGAATTTGACTTTTATTACAAAAAAGGAGCTGTCTGTGCCTCTTTGGCATATCATTGGCTCTGGGTATCAAAATGTTCCTCTCGGGGTCCTGAAATATGTAACCAGTCAAGGCCTGTGAGCACTGAGCAGAAGCTCTGAAACAATTAAAATTATACATTTACATGTAACAATAAATACACTTTTACGCATAGCCTTCTAACGGTCTATTTAGAAGGCTACGTTCTACGGTACATGTGTATTATGTACCTCCTTAAACCCCACCCGGCAGGCCGGCAATCGGCATAGTGCATACATAATGGATGTCAGAGGATTCCAATTTAGGATTTCCGGATGCTTTGATGTTGTTGCATCGCCTCTGGCTGAGCCTTTGAGTAAATAAAATGTACACTCCATGGTCTACTGAGTCACCGACAGACAACTCTTCCAAGTATGATATTCGCGTTTAATCCTTAAAATCAACCAGCACTAATAGAAAATAGACCATTAAAGAAATATTGTATCTATTTATGTAGGATGCTGTATCTTGGACGAGTGTAGATCACCTCAGTTTGTGTCATACAAGTCTGTATCCATTAACCTACAAGCACGTAGGAATTCGTTCTTATCATATATACCGATTAAATGATGACTTTTAAATGTGCAGGTTTTTAATTCGCCTACGGGAGACTTTTAGGGCCTGCCTGTCTGTGCCCGTATTCGAAGTGTACTCTAACTTTCACACAATCTCAAATGGCCACCTCCTGTGCGTACGATATAAGTGCAAATTTCCCATTCTGTTATTTATGATCCTGAAAGACACATTCGTGCTCACAAGTGTTGACTCTTAAATATTCCCGTCATAAATGTCGCCTTTCCACACTAGACAGCGCCCGGGGCCTGTTTATGAGCCTCTCTGCGCTTGTAGTATACCCAAGGGTCCTTGGGTGTGTGAATCATGGTAGTGTAGTCGATATCGGGTAGGGAGTCACGAGAAAGCTCAAACTCACGCAGCATCGTGGTCCAAATGGTTTTGATCTGTAGCAGAAGGTAAAAAGGAATGGAACAATAAGATGCGTAGGACAAGACGGATCCAACAGTTACACGAACGAAACACCTTTAATATCACCAGGTGATCATGTGATGTGAGCCTAGGTTCTACTTCTCCTTGAGAACAGCGAAAAACCCTAGGTACATATAAAATGATCATACACCCGTATACCACTATAAATGAAGCGCCAACCAGCGACACATCCCTCAAATCATTACAGTCGGACACCAGAAAATGAAGCGTACGCCAACCTTGTGCGAAACTATTGCTGCGAAATCATTCAATATCCCGCACGTGGCAGACTCTACAGCGCGTGCCCAGTACACAGATAGATTCACAGAGAAACATTAGCTATACAGACCACGGCTAGTAGTATTCGAAAATCATTTCTACGTCTCAGGTAGACAGACACGTACAACTATTATATCCGCCCCCGTCGAATAATATCAATGAAAATGAGAAACAAATTTTAGTGTTTCTATTTCGTACCATACACCATCAGGGTGGGTATACGCATGCTGCATAGTATATATACATACCTGCGTGTAAGCGAACATCTCTCCGATGCAACGGTGGCGGCCGGCGCCGAAGGGCACATACGAGAATTTGCCCTTACCGGGTGTGGCACTCGCATCACGCGTGAGCTCGTCAGCTTTATCTGTGCGCATACCCTCGAAGCGATCGGGGTTGAAGTCCATGTTATCTGGACCCCACGCATCCTCCAAGAGGTGGTTGACTGTGGGTGACGCGCAGACGTATCCACCTATATTAAAAAAATCGAAGTAAAAAGCACGAAGTTTAAGGCACAATCTGCATGTGTATATGATAGCGGATGGTCAGGTAGAATACTACTCAAAACTACAGACGGCGAGGCTTGTCAAACACACAATCCAGCATTACATCCAATGAGTGTGATAGTGATCACCGTATTCTAAACAGCAAAAACAAACAAACAAACCACGTTTAACCGCCACGTCCTAGGCGCACGGGCATATGACAGACTGCTTTAACGAGAATGGAACTGTGTACCTTAGGATAGAAATATATCTAATGACATACCAATAGGGATGGTATATCCCATGAGTTGCTGAGGTGTCTGTACGGTGCGCATCATGGTCATGATGGGTGGACGCAGTCTGAGGGTCTCACGGATGGTATTATCAAGGAAGGTCAACTCCTTCAAATCCTCGAATGTTGGGGTAGTGTGCTCTCCAACCGTATCTAAAACCTCAGCACGGGCACGATCCTGCAACCTCTTATCATGACACATGTAGAAGCCGGCCCAACTGGCGGTGGTGGAGGAAGTGTGCTGTCCGGCAAGCAGTAGAGCAATACACATGCCAGCCACTTGATCATCAGTCATTAGCTGTCCATTGCGGTAGGGTGTGTTCATGAAGGTCCACATCATGTCTGTGCCCTCGGATTCGCCCTATGGAGAATAAAAATCGTACGCGTGGTGAGCCTTGGTGTAGTGTATGGGTTGGAAAACTGTGAAGCAGACATAATTTGCGAGCAATACACATAGTATTGCCTTGATTGCAGCCACCGGTAATTTGTATACATGCGCAGCCAGCAAGCACCAAAATGCAATTCAAAATACGAGCATCTGACACTATGCAGGTAGCTTGCTGTTCTGTGATGTACATTTACGACTCGCAATGCGTATTTGTGGTACAAATAAAATAACAAATACTTTACCATGAAGAAACGAACACGAATACAAACATGAAAGTGATTTATAACGCAATGTCAAGAAACAACAAACCTCGGCCTTCTCCTTTTGGGTGCGGCGTCGCTCGCCGATAATATCTGTGAAGACCTTCTTCAGCTTAATATGCGCACGGTCGCGGGTACGGAAACTGGGCAGGGGCAACCATCCAGGCAACAACCACGCTGCAGGTGTGAAACCTCCATCCAAGTCGTGGTATAAATCTGCTACAGACTCGTCGAGAAGTGCTCGTACTTCTCGGCCTAGAAGACACCGGGAAGCGGTCATGATGACAAGTTCAGCCATACACTATAAGTACAAATGTAAGGGGGGTTATTGGTTAATGATTTGGCAATAGAAAAACATATCCAAGTTCTCACTGCGATTAGTTCTCAGATGAATTTTGATATTGTTACATATACTCCAGTACATGCGTTGAAGCAACATTTGTCAATATTATATTGCCAGGGGTACGATACCCATATGTTTATGCCTATGCAACCCTGTTAAAACAAAGTATGTCCTACATCAGATGTATATTTATGGCGACCTTCCAGATGATCTTAAGTATGAACATGATACTATACATTTGCCACAGATACCGTGCAGGATGCGACGGAATATTGTTCTATAAATAAAATGTTCGCATCAGACAGCCGACGAGCCTTAATACGCAAAGAGCGAACTACAAACTAGTCTCTCATGTCGAGACAGTGCCTAGATTTTACGACTTCAGCAACGTCATATGCAAAGTATCAATGCAGACTAAGTACCCATACCCACCTTGAAGAGGTCTGTCTTGCCCTCGTTACCCCATCTCTGCAGGTATTTGGTAGTCTCTTCCTCAATCATGGGCACATACTCCTGGAATCTATTAATAGTAAGTCCAGCCTTTGAGATGCGCTTCTGCTCGCCGAACTCTTTGGCATCGATGTCGTATGCAACACCCTTACCAAACACGGGCACGGTTAGAGAAGCGTACACACTCTCTGCATTGAGGTCGTCGTTCTTGGAGTTGAACATCAGCGCCGATGCCTCCGAGCCAATCACATACGTGCAATCCATGCCCATCATCTTGAAGGTGAACACCGGTCCGTATGTTTTATAGCACTGCGTGTGACAAGGAGATGATATCGTTCTGAATTCAAAGTTAACAATACATGGAGGTATCCTTGTTTACACTACATGGCGTGTAGCCTGAATACAGTTAGAAAAACCATCAGCGGGCACGAGAAGCCGCACATGGGAATAATATATTTAAGGCAAAATGTGCGGCACGAGCTCGTTATATCATAAATGAGATTGGCCTGCGCTCTGCAGGTCATTCGGCCGATGAGGATGGCAATATATTATTCATACATTTTATGAGACTAATGCGATATTTTGGCTTTCATACCCTCAACTATAAAATCGATGCCGTTGTGACAATCGCATGTTGTGTTACAAGTCTACAACACTCGCGTCAGACATTCTTAAGGAGATGGAGTGCCAGATATATTACCACATATATAGTGAACAGTGAGATAAACAATAAAAAATAGACAGGATACAATCAATTACAAAGAAATTACTTTATTGAACTAAGCCAGATGCGTGCAAAGATTATATAACAAGTTTAAGTTTCTAGAAATTCCGTATCAGTACTACAAGCAGATTAAAGTGACCAGTGAAGTCGGACACTGGGTATGAGAAGCATTCGTGAGTCAAATTTACATATAATCAAATACTATACAAAAACCTAATCCACTTGTGTTCAAAAACACGCGGACAATAGTCTAGACTAGACTATACATATATACTTATATATATACATTCGTATATGCATAAATACATGCGTATATATATATATATATATATATACACACACGCATATATATATATGTATATATAAACGATGTACAAAGGAATCGAAACCCTACATCTACATGTTTATGCAGGTTTGAATTGTCATAATAGTTTGCTGGATACCTAACGATATGATGCGTATATACGTAAACAGATTTAATGGGTGAAAAACCGGTGGATGCGTCCCACGTAGGTGTTATAGTTGCCAATACACACACATACCCACATAGTATAACACTTTTATATTGGAAACAAGCTCACGAGCACTTGCATAAATAGTATAATAGAGAACAATATCAATACTAGCACATACACATGAAAATATATAACATAAAAACCCGAATTCTACAGGCCCAGATTCCAGTCTATACATGAAACCCCAACTTAAAACTTTGACATAGCACAACTCTACTTGGAGTCTCTTAACCAGCACACACATTCTAAAATTGAATTCAAAAAGGCACAATGTCATATCACAAAAAATTAAATCTCTAACGGCATTCTCCAAAAAGTGCAGAACATCATCTCAATTCGGATGGTTTGGAAGTACGAATGTGCTAACATCACATTACTTTCTGACACCACTAGGGCATACTATGTACATGTATATTAGCATTTCACCATGTTTATCTGCGCATAATTCATTGGCCTTAATTATCAAAGCATCGCGTAAATCAATAAAAGCACAAAGCTTGAAATCAACATACACAGAAATGAACAACTAGGTAAAAACAGAAATAGTGCCAGTATAGTAAAAAGTGCAGATAGATAGCATTGAACACGATATTCAACTAGCGTACATAACTAGAAAGCTAATAAGCGACATGCCCAGTATCACACTCGACAACGGGTTCGCTCTGTTAGTGGAACTATCGATCGAATTGGCATACTATATGCGAAGATTAGAAAAGCGCAAAAAATCTTTCACACAGGTGAAAGGCACCCGCGAAGATGCTGACTGTTGCACACAAACTTTCACACACATTAGCATGCCTCGATGTGCCCGGTATCAAGGCTTCGCGCGTGCGCTTTTCACACTCAGCTTTACTACACAATTAAAACCTTTGGAACATGGACATGATCACGTATATAGACCAATAGATTGGTATATATATATATATATATATACACACACACACTCACACATACATACATAAACACACACACACACACACACATTTATATATATGATTGAGTAAATCTGAATATAAATGTAAAAATTTACACATACCTCGTGTAAGAATGTGATAGGAGAAGCACCGAACTCGATGGCACTGCCCACAAACGGTATATAGTGTCCTACACGCGGCGGGAACTTGACACCTTCTGGGACATTAGATCGTCTGGTTACCAATACAATCGTGAAGGTGATTAGTACTATAGCTAAAACCAGCTCTGTTTGCGTGGCCGAGGCCACTCGTTCTTTTGTGGAGGTAACGATCGTTTCTATTAAGCCCATTTTGAAAGTATAATTATCTGATAAATGTGAAAGTGTCCCTCTTGTTAGTGGTAATTATCTGATGCTCAACTGGCCTGCTGCACTGCTTGAAGTACTTAAAAGTTCAAACTCGCATTTCCTATCAACGCAATATTATTATACGGGTGGCGAAGCAGCGATATGAAAGATCATACGATAAATAATGGATAATCGACATCTCTACTCTGTATCGAAGACTCGTGACTCGTTGAATATTGTGAACACTTTGCTTGCGCACGGACACATTGCCCTGGCCTGGTGGCAGGCCTGGACACTTCTGAGGCAATTTTGCACCGTAATCGTAAGACTTTTGGCTTTTCTTCGTTTTATGTGGAGGTGGAACTTCAGAAAAGTTCGGCCAAACGGTGTGCCGACCAATGGGTACGCTTAGCCAAATCGTATGATCGGCACGCCGGCGGTGGTTTTAATTATAGGAAACTGTCGTAAAATAGTCATCAGTTTTTCAATATGCCGGCTTTTTATCCTCCAAGTTTAAAAAAAAAAGGGGTGTAGAGTGTAAACTGTAGAGTGTAGACGAATCGTATTGGGATTTGGTTAGGGCTATGGTTCTGTTCGGAATGTCCGGATTTCTTAAAGAATAATGGGCCTAAATTATAGCCTCCTATTATTTAGATCCGGCAGCTATGTATGGCGGGATGGGAGCAATATTGATGATAAAAATAGGCATCATCAGTTCAAAAGCAAACTTTGTAATCCCTCTGATTCGTCATCGCTGGTCATTAGGAAATATTAATCTTTTGTTCCTTTTATATATATTTATATATGATATATATACAGACGCCCTCGCCGTACATGTAAATATAGGTTCTCGACGATTTCAAGTCACATATACTTTAAGTATACGAGCTTACATATATACCCTCTTCATTGAGAATTATCACTGCCGCGTGCTATTAAATCGATATGTTTGCCCTCCGCCGTACCGCTTTATGCACAAGCAAGGTATGTTTGTACACAAGGCTTTGCCGTGCGCTACACCTTAAATGAAGTTTTGTGGCAGTTGTGTTGTTGTCGCGACTTGACCGGTGAAGATGAGGGCGTTATTTATCGTTTAGCGTCTTTGCAAGTTTATTGCACATCAGCACTTGTTAAATGTAGTTCAGTTGTTATATCAATGCATCAATATGGCAAATAGATATGCGCCATGAGTAACCGGCCCTCTTCACACTCTGCTCAGAACCATTAATCCTATTTTTGTGCCTTTATGATTATCTGAAGGCGGTGGCTGTGGATCTGTGTCCTTTTTGTGTCTTTGCAAACTCGACATTCATTTTGATGAGAAGTTGTAACTATATGTCGCCACATAGCCATAAGTACACGTCATGAGTGATTTCAACCCGCGACAGAATGTATTACGGTGGTATCAAGATCGTATCTACGCTTAAGATAATACATATAGTGTATTCTTGAAGTCAGAGTCTCTGAATATGTGCATCCTTGTTGGATGCTTTGTGCGGTTTTTGGATGATTTGTGCGGTTTAAATGTGACAAGCAGTTCGATTTGTAGTTTGACATGGGTTGGGTGGAGTCAATCGTCGACAACAATGATACATAAATGCGGAAGTTGATCATTTGATTAGTTCAGATGAAGTGCTGTATTCTGATGGGAACAGTTTCAAACACCGTCGAACTTTCGTTCTGATGGTTGGTTAGTTGTGCTGTGCAATTTGCACATTTTTTTTGTTGAGAATGTTGACGTTTTGACATCTGCTTTATTATACAAATAGTACTATAGAGGGAGTGTGTGTGTAAAATGCAATCATAGACCGGGCTGAGAGTGGTTTCTTAATCGATGTCGAACGCATTGCTTGTGACCCTTGGTTCAGATGTCACTAACCCGATATGTATATGCCATAGGTTCCGATGCGAACTATGCTGTTCTCCACCGCCAGTGTTCTGAAGAGTAAGCCGATTTTAACAGACTGCGGTAAGGTGGATAAATTTAAACTCAACGATACCATGAAAGAGGGAGACTTCTTTGTACAAAAGTCAAAAGGTAAGCAATTAAAAGCACTGGTCAGTGTGGATAGCATCTGAACGCATCTACAGTACATTGTATGTTTTGTTAGCTTGGATTCAACCTGATGAAATAATGATATTTACTAGAACATCTCTCCCGCAACGTAATAGATATACTGTATTGCTTCGTTGAGTTTAATTCAGCGAAGTGACTTGTTTATGGCTATGATGCTTATATGGTCTGGGTGACTCATTTTGTATGCCCCTATACATATGGAACAAGCGAGTTGGAGGGTGTAGTTCGCGATCGTAACGATTTGACCGACTAAGTTTTGTTTGGACACGTCTGACATACCCTGAGCAGATAGGTGTATGGAATCACGGGTGTAGCCGGTTATAGAACGAGCTATCCACGAATCAACTAGTCCCCGCTTAGTCTGTTTGAATATGATTTGTCCGGATATGTGATTTGGGATTTGTTCAGCTGGACTATGCTCTCAATACCACTATTTAAACTCCCTCCATTGTGTGCTCTGCAAAGTTCAGGGTTGCGAGCTGTCGTGCTACGGGTCGACTCTACATTCTCCGCCACTCAACACCAACCGAATGCGGATAGTCACACCGAAGAAGAAAAGGTGTGTAGAATTCTGGTCCGCGAGTGATGGTACACATTTAGTGGCGTGCGGCGGTATAGCAAGTTAGCTTCGTGGGTGCACTGACTACGAGAAGGGGTTCCGAGATATACATCGTATGTTGCAATCGGTCACAGGAGTTTGACCATTGTCATAGTGGTGTGTCCTAACACCCTGTACAAGTCGTGTCGTCTGTATTCCGTTGCGTATGGCATTGCTAGTAAGGTTGAACGCGTGGTACCGTGTATCGGCTGTTGAAAGATGAAAAGTTATTTGACGTCTGTGTGCAGGCAGGTTCGCGACTAGAAAAAATAATGTCGAACATCACTCACACGAACATGCTCCGCACCACACAGTAGCATAGCATCACGCACACAAACATGCCCAGCTTCACACAGGATCTTGCATTCGATAAAGTCCTCACTACGCTGCACGTTCTTGGCGCCTGCTCATATCCCCGTCTCCTACCACGCAAAACGTCCTACAGAAACAAACGTTTTACCTCGCATTGCCGGATGAACGAGACACATTACCAGAACAAACCAGAAGTAGCCTCATGATTTATGGTATGTTTCTGCGTCTATACCATGGCGTGGGTAGTGGGCAATTAGGGACTATCGCTGAATACTAGATGCCAGCTTCTGAGGAGTTTCAAGGACAATACTGAGATCGAATCTCGTACCAGGCACGAGTGTGGTGTTGTAGGTAGAAAGTCTGTGCGGAACACACTAAGGTCTGAAACACCCGGGAGGCCTGGGGATATTTGAACATAGTGAGAGGATGTATATAGGATGGTAGAAAATTCACGCAAATAACATGCTTATTTTGTATTTCTTACATTAACACCTCTTCGCTTTCCCTTTCTCACTACTCGCCTCAGTCCCACAGAGCGATGTGCTTCCGTTCTATTCCTATCTGCCGATCCAACATTCACGTAAGTCATAGTCATAAGTGTGTAAGGATGCCTGCATGTACGCACTGAAGCTTTGTCGTATACGATCGTGCGCGCGACTGATGCGCTTGTGACTTGTGGTGCGTGAGATTATGGTTGAAAACGATCACGTGGAAAAACTTTGAGCAGAGTCGGATTTGTGGCTGAAGGCAACGGCGCATTGAAATTGGCTAAGCAATTGGTTGCATGCAGGCATAACTGCATATAGGTACCAGTTATGTATCACCCATGGCCCACTTGATTGTTGTGTCTGTGGTCATTGCGAGTGGATCTGCTGTACGTGTCTCGATAATGACGTATATGCCAGCATAGTCCAGTGAACCAGTGACACACGCACACGTATTCGCATACTCAAACTAACACTCGTTCTTGCTCGAAGGTATAGATAGCAGGGTTTTTGAAAGGATATGTCAGCTATGAATGTACTCTAAGCCTATGAATGTACTCTAAGCCCGCGTGAACAGATATTCACACACACAATCGCTCTCTCACGCAATCACAGATAGCAGCACGTACATGAAAGGATTCGCTAACGGACGTCACGAGTTGCACAGCGACTTCTACTGTCTCTTTTGACAATTAGCAGGTGTGTGGAGCGTACACACCCCTAGTGGTCGAGTGTTTGTGTATCTGCAGTAGGGCTTTCTGGAATGTAGTAAGAATTTATCGTAGTAAGTCGATTCGGTAGTTCTTCCTAGAGCTAGATATGAAAGCGTTGATAGTTGTGAATTGTGAGTGAGGACAACGGTCGGGCAAGCAATATCGGACAGCTTGTACTGGTTTGTATGATCTGTATTATGGTTACAAATGGTATATCGGCGGGCGTATAGTTATATGAGTGAGTGCTTTGCCATTCACGCACAGTGTCTAATGTACGTGTGAATGCGCGATGCGTGATAATAGGCCAGTTACATCGTATGGGGTGGGATATTCCTAGTTCGATCTGTAGCGATTGGCTGGCTAATATGTTGCTTATATCGGATATTTGGAAGAGAATCAGGCCGGGTTCAGGGACGTACAGTTGTGTTTGCTCATCTGTATCTCCAACTTGCCCTCATATGCAAGAGTGTTTCTCAATGTGCCAAAAGAGTTTTGCGCAACCTTTGTTGTAATTGAGTTTTGTAAGGGGAGTGCAGCTGGTTCTTCTCCGCTGCAGATTTACCCCGCTTCTGCGGAGCGATGCATTGTGTGTATATGCAAGGCAACAATCACAGCCGACGTTCACCAGGGTGTATGTGCTCCATGCCACCACCAGTACTGGTGGTTGGTTGATTATAACCTGCTTAACACTAGAGGGCGTTGCGGTAGGATTGCAAGCTACCGAAGGGCCGTTGTGATACGCGTTTGGGTTTCATATAGCACTATTGCGAAGTGTTTCCTATGGCTGTATGAAGCACTCAAATTATTTAGCAGACGTTGGTACCATTGAATCCTATCAATATCCACTATCCGCGTCAGGAGCAATGCAGAGTTGGGTGAAAGGTTTGTGGCCTAGCAGAAACGACTTGGGCACACCCGAGGGGCTCACTACGGATCAGTTGAAAGCGCCCAAATCGACCACTTCGCAAAGCTTCGCCAATTTGAGCAAAGTCCAATAACCTGAGGACTACCCCGTAAATCACAGCATGCGGGTTTGTTGTCACACTTTATAACTTCTCCGCCTACGGCAATATGTCATCGTGTATGTTGCCTTGTTCAATAGTGGATTGCATGCTCCCCTCTCAGCAGAAACCGAGGTAGGGCGTGTGTTTGGCCGAGTCGTCGGCACTATGGGATCCACTTCACTGTGGGTTATTTTTCTTGAATCTAATTAAACGTCTATATGTGATAATGAGACCGCGTGTAGCACTCACCACTGCTTGTTAATATATTGTCACGCACACTTTTGTCATGCGATTAAATCAAGACGGCATCAAATACGGCAAAGCAGAGAGCGTACTTCACTCAGGACTAACATTAGAATGAACGATTTGTGTTTCCCTTAAATGACCTCTATAGTCGGCTGTGGGTACCCCTGTTTCACATGTATAGAAACACTGAATGGGATCACTGGCCGCAATACCAAATACTTCAGCTGTACCCAGAGACAGTGTAGCGAGTGCAAAACGATTGGATGGCAATGCGATGGAATCATCCCTACGAAGTGGGACTGCGATGTCTGGCTCGATGCTGGGTAATTGTGATGGAAGAAAGAGTGCACGAATAATAATAACTGCACACCTGGCCGATACAAAACATGCGGCATCTTTCGGAATAATACATCTCAGCAACATTTGTTGTAAATGCCAAATCTCACCACTAGTTGTTCGCGAGCAACGTGAACCCGCACAATGATAATATCAAAAGGGCCAGCACCAGCTGAACATGTCTCCGCCTAGTTAAGTTGGGCTGTTTTCAGGGTTTCGGGTTTTGGGCAATAGTCTATCTCGCCTAGTTTAGTTGGGTACATTTCAGGGTTTAGTGTTCAGAAAGGCGTAACGAGCTGTACTTGCGCACTGCTAGATTGCTCCAGTAGGTTCAATACTGATGCACATTCACGCACAGGTTGTATTGTCATTTCTCACCGGAGTTGTCTGTCAAGACACTTGATTATGTTGTATTAGATACTTTTAGATTCAAAAACTACAACATTCGCAATGATCCATGTTACCTTGGTCATACATTGGAGTACAGAAATAGGCGCCCTGTAGCATGACATACAAAATTGGGCATGAGACTATCTATATAACTTGACACATCAAAATCGGAGCATATGAAACTTTGCCTCCAACTCGGGGAGAATACACCTGCACATCAATACAAACAAACACAAAACGATGAAATAGCTTATCAGTTTTGTACTCATCATGGCACTCTTCAGTGGCCATTGCTACAGGTTGGGTTTATTTAACAGAGAACTCAAAACATTGGACGTCACATTTCCTTGGTTTCAGGAGGGACATTACTTGTACTATTGCTTGTTGATGTACTTGCGGATGTGAGATCGGCCGAGAGATTGCTCTCCATAGCCGCTTTGATCCTCCTCTTCTCCAGCAATTCTTTCCGTAGCGCACGCACGCCCTCTAGCGATTGCGGGATTTGCTGCGCAAATAAAGAGTTACACTGGATTGGCGCATGGACAATAAAACGGCCGGAAAACTACACACGCGCACCTCAAAGAAGCATGGAATGATTCAGAAATTAAGTTGCACGATGCTTGAGGCGTTTAAATCCCCTACTCGATCCCCGCAAGTTGTGATATGTTGTCGGCGGTATGCACAATACAACCGATAAGCCAATCAGAATGCAATCCCACAATACTCCTGGCACTCTGCGGATAGTATTGGTGAGATGCATCACGGCAAATATCGATAGCCTTGAACTCTGAGTACACACCTATATCCGCTAACAGCTAGAGACAAGCTACATAGTTTGAAATATCAATATCAATACAACTGGGCAATCTCAACAAGCACCTGGTGAACACGCTGGTTGTGATGCATGACTGTGAGTAGCATGTAGCCATGCATACACGAACCGCAAGCTTGTTGTGGCCAAATTCCACATACCCTGGTTTCTTCATCCTCGTGCAGGACCCGACGCTGTAATGAAAGGGAAAGATAAAAGGATTCATGTAAGCGTATGCACGAGCTAAAAAAAAAGACAAGTTGTGATAGTGGCAGGCCTCCTAACATCGCCTCTGTCAAACATGGAATCGAGACGCGTCAAATCGTTTACGTTTCGAAACCACTCCATTCTTAGTCTCGCACAAACCATCATAGCGCATCCAACGCACCTTTGTTTAGTGGTACGAACGCATCAGCATGCAGGATATCGATATCACATAAGTTACAACAATGACCACATAATAAGCCACTCAATTCACCCCTCGGTGCCGTTTTGAGAACATACCTTGGTTTCCTCTACATAGTTCTCGTAGAACTCGGGCATGTTGAAGTACCAGAACATTCCAATTGGGACAAATACATATATAGCAAACTGTGGCAACAGGAAACAAATAGAGAAGTGAGTTGAAGAAACACTAAAATGCTGACGAAAACAGTTTGGTATGAAGATTGATCTGTACCACTGAATGTCCGCAACTTCCGCTATCTATAGTGGTATACGAGCACATATTTAACACAAATTATCAAGACAGATATAACAACTAACACACTATGCAAACATTCAGAGAATATATGACAAATACATCATATGGTTGAAGAGATATTCAAGCATTGTCTTATCAAAATAGCAGCACATGGGAAGTGGACGTTCACGTGAAGCTATAGAAATTTAAAGGCATCGCTATTAAGTGTTGATACCGATGATGTCAAGTATTGCAATTGCATTGGGTAAAATAGATAATGCGAGTTCTTTGACCAACTACTCACCTTTCTAATACTATTTGTTCACGGGAATACTGACTTTGCCTACACAACGCACACATATATATATACACAAAAAAATCAAAAACAAAAACACACACACGCACAATAGCGCACAATATAAGATTTACAATATATAAATATATATATATATATATATATATATATATANATATATAATATATTATATATATATATACATATACATANATATATAATAATAATAAATAATAAAT